AAGAATTTCATGCTGGATGAGCTGCACCCTGGCACGAAGGGCTCTTCAGGGACCCAGATCTGAGCTGAGAATCTCCTGCTTGGGGCAGAGCAGAGGTGTTGAGTGAAGTTCAAACTGTGCTCTCCTCCCCAGTGCTGAGAAGGCAGAGCAGGTCGAGGTGCACAGAGCAGCTCCTGGGGCTTCTCTCTGCCCTGCTCTCTGTGCTGACCCCTGCCTTGAGCAACAAGCAAGGGGCACGGAGGGCTTTGCTGCTGGGGGATACTTAGAGGGATGATCTGAAAAGTGGCACCTCTCTATGAAGCCCAGGCTCAGCAGGTCCTCAGGACACATCCCTGTCTGCAGGGTGCAGCCGCAGTCGCTCTGTAGCACACATACAAATGTGTGTTTCAGCTGCAAGCTGCGCACTGCCGCTGCCTCCAGGCTGCAAGTGCATTCCTCTGTTCTCGCCCTCCCCAGGTCCCACGCTACAGGGCATCACCTATTTATAACTGCATGTGCTGCAGGAATAATATTAGACTGATGGCCTCACACAGTCACGCTAAATGTTATTCTATTTATGTGATTTGCTCTTCTTCACAAGCTGTTGGGCTCCCAGATGCCAAAACACGCTGCATAGCATAGACAAAGACTCGGATTTTTCTCTTTTACTACAACCTTTACCAACTGCACCCAGTCCTAAGTATATTTATCAGTTTTTTCCCAGGTCACCTAAAGTAATTGCATCTACTATTCCTTCCCCAGTCTGATCGATATCCTTGGTAAATAAGATAACGTGTCAGGTCTGCTGTCCCTGTAGCCAAAGGTACTTTAGCAATGAAATTGTTTTGCTGAAGAAATAAATGCCTCTCACTGAATCTGAGGATGCTGTGACCTTTCATTAGTGACCTGAGTGACTCATCCCTTTTTGTGTGCACACTGCAGCCTCCCACCACATTGTAAAAGATGCACCACAAAGTCCTGCTGCCTAGCGCAACAGGGAGCTGAGACCCACAGGAGCCTCTGCTCGGGGTTCGCATGTGGTCTTCACACCTCTGCCTGGGCCTGGGGGCTCTCACGTTATGGAGATGCCCTGTTTGCACAGCGGGGACATCATCTCTGTCCATCTCTGTCCCACAGTGATGTCCCCGGCACCCACAGCCCTTGTCTGAGCAGCAGCTCCCACTCCCCCAGGCTGTGGAAATCTCTGCACCAAATGCAGAAGCCCATGTTTTCAGCACACCCAGGCTTGTTTAGCAAACAGGACTTTAGTGGCCATACCACCCCCATGAAGTGAGGTGGGCAGCTCGCTCAGAGCCAGATTTCAGCCAGAGGCCGTGTATCACACTGTGTTCACTGGGGGAGGCAAATCCTCCCACTCCACTGGCACCTCTGCAGCCAGCAGCTGAACTCACGGAGTCCCTGTGGTGTCTGTGGCACTCGCTGCTCACTCCTGCTCCCCACCACTTGCACACAGGAGCGTCTCAGTCCCTCGCTTTGCCGGGTGCCTCTGGAAACAGAGATGCTGGAAACATGATGTGTTTAGTGTCTTTTTAGAAATGTGTGCAAAGTGAAATAAAGAATTAAACAGAGTTGAGCCCCATGCATTTAGATGCTGTTGACAGCAATACATTCCTCTTGTAGAGCGTTTTGCATGCCAAGAAAACCAGGTTTAGAGAAGGAAAGTGGTTGTACATCTGCATCTGTACATGTGCCTGTTAATTCTGCCTGAATGGCTTCCCTGGGCTGTCAGCTCAAAAGTTCTCTTTAACATAACAAATCTTGACTGTGCAACAAATCCTCGACCAGGAGGGGTTTATTTAATGAAGTAAGAAATGCTGCCAAATTTCCAGGCTTGATCCCAATCCCATTAATGTCAGAAGAATTCCCACCATGTTTGGTTTGTTGGTTGGGTCTAATCTGAGTAGAGGAGTTAAAAATCTGCTTTCAGGTTGATTTTGCAGATAAGATCATTGCTCTGCTTCTCTGTGCCAGAGAGGATGTGGGAAACGCAGATGATGGTACAGCTGGGATTTCTTTCACTTGATTTTAGGCATCTTCAAGTCCGGCAACAGAGAGACAAGTTTTGGAACATTCAGCTCATCATAAGCCAGGAGCTTGAAAGAGATAAAACGAATTTATTTCTTCCTGCAGAACCATTTCACCCCATGAGGATGTGCAGCCCGTGTAAAGGAACCTGACAGTGCTGGAAGGTCTCTGCAGCGAAGGGGAAAGGGCCTTGCTCAAAGCCACCCCTGAGCAAGTGACTGTTGGTCCAGGCGCTGCTGCTGCCCACTCAGGTCTTCTCCCTGTGCTTGTACCAGCCAGGAACCAAGGATAATGCCTGGATCAAGATGCAGCCATAGCACAGCAACTCCGGTGGACGCTGACCCCCTCCTGCCAGCAGCACGTGTGTGTGTATGGCCCTGCCAACGGCTGGCAGAGCTGCTGGGAGAAGGGGGAATATGGCATCTCCTCACCTTCCTTGTCCCCTTACCCACTCCCAAACGTATGTTATGTCCTCTTCTGCCCACGCCCCAGGTTGTGACCAGCACAGAGGCAACAGCTGCTCGTGCTGGTTGCTCCAGGGACAATCCCTCCCCTCTGGTCCCAGGGGATATAGAGCACCAGGGAGGCTTTGAGGTGCCCACATGTTTTGGGCAGGTCTCCAGTGGTGACCATGCACCTGCAGTGTCCCAGAGAGCACTGGCTGCTCTTTGGAAGGGAAGGAGCCTCCTTTGACACAAGGGCTGGAGGAAGGAGGGCTGCTTTGCTGCTCCATCACCAGCTGCAAAGCTGGCCATGCAGGTTCATGTGCCAGTGGTTGGCCCTTAATTACACATATAGCTAATTGGAAAGAGCTCAGCCCTTCAGTTCATGGGAAGAAACAGCATTGAGAATCAAGGGGCCTGCAAAGTAAGATATGGAAAACCCCTCCAATATCTCTGGAGCATCGGCTGAACTCGCAGATCCTTAATGGCTTTTGCTGATTTGACAGATGCAGGACATAGAAAACAGAGCAGATTTATGACTACAACTGTCTCTGAGGCTCAGAGATGCTTCTTAGGATACAGATCTTTAAATCATCATTAACAGTGACAGGAGGGGGCAGTGGAGAAGACAGAGTTGGGCACAGCAATGCAGGGGTGAGAGCAAGAGTTTGCTGATGCTTCCTACACGGCGCTCCCTCCCTGGGGTGCAGTGATGCTTTCAATCATGCATAAAGTTGGGTGCAGCGACAGGGTGCTGCAGCTCCTATGGGCAGTGGGGAGCTGAAGCCAGTTCTGTGGGGAACTGTCGCATCTTGGATGGGCTCCATGCGTGAAGGTGGAAAAGCTGGACAGTTTTCAGAGACATGGGTATTTCTCTAGGAAAGGAAGAGAAGAGCTCGGAGCTCTGGAGAAGCCCAGACCTGGGGAGTGCGTGCAAGGAACAGATCTGAACCTAATGTCCCAGAGATCTTCCCTATTGCAGAGACAGAAGAACATCTCATTTGAGAATTTCAGCTCTGTCTTTGGGTTTCTTCTGGATGAGGTGGGAGCTGAAAGCTTCAAGGCTCTGCTGTCACACTGAGCAGACTCTGAGGACCTACCTGTGTGCACACCTGGCCCAGCATTGCTCCCCGTCTGCGGAGCCTCGGGAACCCCGTCACTGCTCCCGGCACTAGGCTGGCTGTTCCCTGCGCTCCTCTAAAACTTTACGAGAAGCCAGACAACTCATGACTGGAAACATTAGGTGTTTATTTGCATTTTAGACATATTAACTCCATCTGAAAGCGAGCTGCAGCTCCCTCTGTGCAGCGGTGAGGGTGAGTGCGTGCAAAGAGCAGCTGACTGTGATAAATACCAGGGTTTGGTCCAAAGAGCACAGTGTCCGTGGGCTGGCCCTTTCCCAGAAGAGGATGATTTAGACTCTCAATCCACCTCCTTCAGCCGAGCTGCAAGATCTGCTGCTGCAAATCACATTGCTCCTTTCACAAGGACCAAAACCTTCAAGGTGTTCATCAACATCAGGAGCAAAAACTAAAGTGCTGCTCAGTAGCCTCTGCTCCCCCTGAAGCAGACATCCCACAGCAATAGATGGATTGCTCTCACCATTGAATCTTGCCTTCACAAGCCTTCAAACCTGTGTTGCTTCTCTTTCCTTTGCATGCCTAATTTTTAACAGACATGTCTAATCCTGTTGCAAGGCTGGATGCAAGAGTAAGAAGATGCCAAAATTCCCACCTGACGATTCCACAACTCTCCTGGCATTTTTCCCATTGGAAGCAGTGGTTCAGGCTACTGCAGTCATTTGCCTTGAAAGAAAAAAACCCCAACCCAACCAGCAGCCTCCAGAAACTTCAAAATGCCAATTTGTTGTTGTCTGCTATGTGCTTTTCCAAAAAAGCGTGAGTAATGCTGAAGTGCTTTTTTCCCTTGCAAAGGAGGTGGGCAATAGAGGATCACACAGATCCTGAAGCAGCTCAGTCACCCAGGAACAACTAACTCAGGAACTGGCACAGCTTAGTCATCTATTTAAAACTTGGTATTTTAATGACTATTTCCACCTCCAAAGCATTCCTCCCCCTGCAAAAATTCATCTCTCAGCTGTTGTCCGATGCAGGCAGTTAATTACTGGTGCCCTCTCCTTAGACGAAGGAGCGAATCCTGTCTCAAACCCATCCCCATCTCACTCACTGAGAAGCTTGAGAGGTGGCTGCAGAACGAGGGAGATGTTGACCAGCTCAGACTGCTGCGTTAGAGGCTGGACTGAGAAATGTTTCAAGTCCGGAGTAAACACAATGATCATTTCTTGCCATCCCTGGGTGTACTGTTAGGCGAAATGGTTGGGTAGAGTAGCTTTGCTCTAAAACCTGGCCTCAGTTTGCTCTCTGATACCAGCAGTCCTGTCTATCCCTTGTGTGAGATTGCTGCCAGTGATGATGCAGTTACCAACTCTCTGCAAGGCAGGTGTCAAGGTGAGGAGGTGACTCCCAAGCACAAACTGAAGTGGTGCATCCTCTGGAGGGGCTGTTGGGTACCTCAGACCTCACCAGAAACCTCCTCCTTACAAAGAATGATGCTCATATTCTTCTCATCTTCCTGGCAAGAGGTTTTCCTTGTTTGGCAGATGGTCCTTATACGTGACATGCAGGCTTCACTGGTCATCACATACAGCAGGGGGTTGAAGGCACTGTTTAAGCTGGCCAGTCCCCGGGTTACCTGGTAGGAAAGGTAGATATTCTTTACAGCCTGTGTGCAGGACCCTTGCAGCTGCCAGCCTCGAGACAGCAAGTTGAGGTTTCTGCAGATGTGGTAGGGGAGGAAGCAGGTGGAGAAGAGGATCATCACAAGGATCACCAGACCGATGCTTCTTCTCCTCAGGCTGAGGTTCACAGTGTCATTCCTGCAGAGCACCACCACCACGTGGCAGTAGCATCCGATGATGATGAGGAACGGGATGACGAACCCCGTCACGGTGATGGTCATGGTGTACGGCAAGTAAACACCCAGGTACTCGTGTTCCGTTGTGTCGTGGCACCGTGTCCCCGTATTGTCCATCTTGCTGAAGGCAAAATCGGGAGCTACCTGTGCGATGACCCACACCCAGACCATCGTGCTGAGCCACGCTGAAGGGGTTGTCCCGTAGCACCAGCCCCGTGCCTTCAGCGGGTGCACGATGCCCAGGTAGCGGTGGATGCTGATGCAGGTGAGGA